CTTGTGATTAATAAGAATTCGCTATATGATGACGTCATTCCACAAACTACGTCTTTCGTTTTTTCCTGTTAGTTTTCTTTGTAGTCAACAAGAGATAAATCCTCTGTTCCCCACAGACTTGGTGTCTTTTGAGTTCCATCCACCCGTCCTATTGTAGAGACATGTTTAGGGGCATAGTTTTTCACCTTTGATAGGGGATGTTAGTGAAGGGGTGTTCGTTTATCCGGCGATAGTGACGAATAGTAAAACACTTCCTTCCTGGGGGGGGGGCTTTTAAGGTTATAGAAGATGAAGTAGTTTTAAAATCCGGGGGACTGTACGACAGGAAGAAGCTAGCAAGTTTGTCAGATCTCGCAGTCACTTGGAGACAGACGTCCCTTTTGCAAACAAGTAAACCCGTTCCCACAGAAAATATCTAGATATTGAAGCTTGGAAGAGTACCTTTTCCAGGTAATCCCAATGAGACAGCGTCTTATTCTCTAGCTTCCCGTCGAATAATTTTTGAGCAAGACCGCCGTATCCGAAAAGAAAGCAGGGCGAACGCCAACGGAACTTTGGTCTAGTTATCTAGCAAGACATTCACCCTCAGCTCATTATAGAATCGAATTAAAATTTATCAATAATCATGCTATACACAGCAACAAGTTTGGGGACGAAATTGACAAATAATTTGGTTGAGGTTCGTCCCTAGACGGTTGTGCTCAAACCATATCCTGTCAAAACAACGCCAAGTGTTTTCGAAGTTTGTCCCCAAACGAGAGCACCAACAGTCTGGCTTCGTTGCAACGTCACCGTTTTATGGGCACATTTAGAGAATATCAACGTCTGGGTAGAGTGCTATCATACAATTTCGCATGGATGCTGATGTCAATAGTTGACATTCGTGGGTAAATTGAATTGTCCACATACTGTGAGTATTAGTGATCGGGGTAATATTACTAAGCCAAAACTGCTCAGAATATACGAGTTCAAACATAGTGCTTAAAAGGAGAGCTTGCCGTACCCTTACCATGTAAGGGCTACAGCTGCATCTGTTTAAGAAGTTGGCGTTATGACTGATTGTCCTTAGGCATTATCATTATGCACGTTAGCTAGAGGTGGGAAGCACCTCAGATACTGTAGCGCAATACAGAAAAGACAGGAGACAAAAATGCATCAGTTGCATGCCAGCTGAGCTACCACCCACGGAAGGGCGTGCTCCCGGTAAGCTACCAGCCGGATACTAGGCCATAAAAAATTAATATCTAAAATTATGTTATGCTGCAAAGTGAGAGCGTGGTTGGATGGGGGGCTAAGAGGAAAGGGTGGGACTAAGAAACTCACGGCATGAACACAACTGAGGTCGGATCCTAGCCATGTCAGCGTGTATCTAGCCAAACGTGTTTATGATCTTGGACCCCAACCAGGGAACCGTGAAGCTCCAACCAAGGCCAGCTTCGAAGTGAGAGTTTTCATTCCTCTTTAGCAAGTCATCGCCTGGGCACCTCTCCTCTTCTACCATCCGTGCCCCCGGTACGCAAACAACGCACGTCGCGGGAGCCGGTGGGCTGGCATGCGTAACACGTAGTGGAGCCATCAGAGGCTGGTGCGTGAAATAACGGTGCTAAGCGGTTCAATTCCTGTTTCTCTGCAATAAACAAGGCGTCGAACACGCTCATTGTTCACGCGGTGTTCCCGCCAGATGTGAGCCAAACTGCGAAGGCACCGGTGGTCGAACTAAACGAGTCTTTTTATATCGGTTGATCTAAGGGGCGGGGTTTCGCAACTGTACCGCTGCATTGTACACTCTACCCTTCGGGGCGATAGTGATGCCGCACCGACGCCATAGGTGGCGAAGACTAACAAAACCGTCTCAAGATTTTAATATACAGTCGAGGATCTCGCCCTTGATTCCACAGGAGCTGAGACAACTGCCTAAGTAGTTGAATTTCTAAAACGATTAGCTGATCCCCACCAATGGTCCGCACAGGACGCGATCTCTCCCAAACCTGGAGGAAAGCTTGCATTTCGTGGGTGGGAAGCAAAGCCTGAAACGGCTGACAGCCAGTCTGTCTAGCGCAGCTTGGAACGTCTGCGAGTTGTCAAAAATGGGTGCAATATCGTTCGCAAACTCCAAGCCAAAAAGTCATTCTCTTAGGAGCAGATCCACACCTCCTAAGTCGTGTCCTGTAAATGCAATCTCTAAGCGTTCGTCAATAAAGAAGTTGGAGTGGAAAAGTAAGAGCGCGCATCCTTGTCTCACACCGCTCGAGATACTGAATGGCTGCTTTAGCTTGAAGTAAGCCCTCACACTACCCGTGCTACGCGCATATAGTGCGCGGATAATATTTACTTATTTCTAGAGCACACCAATCCTGAGTAGACAGTCTCAAAGCGCACATTGCTCAACCGAATTAAAGGTACTTTTGATATCGATGTACATAACTACCGTGGGCCGCCAATATGTGTGACGGTGCTCCAACAATTGACGCCAAGTGAATTTGTGGTAGAGGCGAGGACGATCCCGACAAAACGCGTCTTGCTGCTCACGAATCTGGCTTTCACGAGCGCCAGGCAGTCGGTGAAGGATTAGAGAAGCAAGTGTTCTAGAGACGATGGGGCTCAGACTGATTCCTCTATGGGTGCTGAATTCCGTGCGCGAGCCGCCTTAGAAGATAAGAACTATAACGGAGCGGCTCCAATCAGTAAGGATAATTCCCAGATCCGCAGTTTTACTAGTGGTTCGTGTAAACATTAACAAGATCAGAGCCCCAGAAGAGGCCTGGATGAAAATAATCTGGTTCGGTAGCTTTGTTCAACTTCAACTGCCCGATCTCACGTTCGACTTCTGAGCGAGAGGGCGGATCCAAAGGGACAGCCTATAAAGCTGGGCGATCACTGGCCTGTGAGGAATCAAACAATTTCGGCCGATTAAATTGCTTTTCAAACTGCTCAGTCAAACACACAAAACGTGTTGACAAAGTGTGGACAGCCTGTCTACTCTGATTCTACATTGTTTCCCAAACACCATGCCTACTGCTGCCCGTTTCCCGTAGCAGACGGAATAATTTTTGATGGTTACCAAGTGCAGCGACTACTTCCATCGCTGACGCACAAAGAGACCACCAGGATTCGCGGTCTCCTTCCATATTAGCACGGAGTTTTGCCCGAAGCTCTTTGCGAGTTTCATTGTGTTCACTTCCAGTCGGAATGTGCCGACGAGCACCAATACGTTCCAGAGACCGCGAAGACACCCAATGTCCATGTTGGCTACTAGACTTACAGCTTGAGGATTTTCCCGCTGCTAGTGAAGTCTTGTGAACATGCGACCAGTGGCCTTCAAATGTTTCCAGTGAGCGCTTACTTAACCCGCGTATCAGCGTATTTTGATGCGCAACGGAAAAGCTGGCTTCACCAGCTGGCTGGTGTCAATGCGCCCACAGCGTCGTCTTGGGCGTCCGCCAAAACACATCCGCATCTCAGCACATAAAAGTGTATGGTCGGTGTCCACACTTGTCTTCTAAATCAAGCTGCAGTTTTGGACGCAGCCTCTCCATCGGTAATTGATTGCAATGTGATCGATTTACATCTAAGACTGGTTTGAGTCTGGTGGGCACCAAATCACCTTCCGGCGGGTGCTGTGTCGGAAGTTAATGCTCGCGAGATATAAGCGAACATCTTCACACAAATGAAGTAGCCGCTTACCGTTATCATTACGGGAGCCTACATCATGTTGGTCGCCCAGTTACAGTCCATCAGTGGATAGTTTCCAACTTGAGCATTCAGATCCCCAACCAGCACAACAGTGACCGTGCTTCTTCTGTGGCGAAGGAGCTCGGTCAGTTGGTGTTAGAAGTCGTCTTTTACCGAATCATCGCTAGAGTTTGTGGGCGCGTTGGCAGCGATGATAAATAGACACCTACTAGTCCCACGCGACTTCGAAGCTTTGAATGAGCCAGCCAAACGTACCGCACCCATCCGGCTACTGATTGCGATTCAATCAACCAAAGCAGCTTCAGCACGGGGACTCTGGTCGACGCCAACACCAGCTTGACCGGTGCTCGAAGCTGCATCGTCACCGGATAGGTGCAATGAGAAAATCTGCTGGTGTCACCTGAAGGGGATCGCAGAGTGAGCACAGAGCACGAGTTTTGCAGGCGGGTCTCCAATAAGCAGCAAATATCGATAGAGAGGGTCTCTAATGTTCGAGCAAGTGCTACCTCTGAACCAATCTGTAGCAATGTACGTCCATTAAGGCATGCCAATCTAAAGGAGGATCGAGGGTTCCAAATGGGAGCCGATGAACTAGGGTGGAAGGCTTGATTGGAAATGGGCTTGTCGACAGGACAGGAGTGACGCCCCGCAGTTGCGTGTGAGTTGAAATTATGAGATAAAAGCCTAGCAAAGTATGTTGAGAGATTACCAAAGATCAGGGCTTTAATACTGGCGGGATAAAAGTGGAGTTGGAATGAGACGATAAGGGTGAAAAAGTGTGAGAAGACAGGATAGCTTGAGCAGCAGCATCCAACTGCTTATCCGCCCTGCTCGATGCAGCAGATATAGTGCCGTTTATTGTCTTCTTCGAGGGCTAGAGCATTAAGAAATTTTTAAAGTGAAATTCAATGTATTGTCCTCAGTAATCGTCTAATTTAAAGGTTAAAATTTGTAATACACCTGAGTTGAATTCTAGTGCTGTGAGATAGCTACGCGTCCACTTGAGCACCCAAATCTCCGTAGCGAATGCCATATAGCCAATTAACTTGTAGGAAAACTGGCGAAATTTAAAAATAGAGGCTAGATTGAAACTTGATTTTGCCGCTTATCATCTTAATACCTATTGGAATTTAGGTCTTTCTTATGTCTAGAGGTGGACTTCAGATACCACAAATACTGGAATCCGAAACCCGTCAACCTGTTACTTCTCACAGTTTTCGATGATCTTGCGGCAAACTGAAAAACATGCAGCTGTTAGTTTGTAAGTACTTTAAGCGATACGCGAGAAAAAAAACATTCAATGTTACTTTAAATAGTTCGGCGTCAACGTAGGTGAGTTCGGCCTTCCTGGTATCCAAATCGTCAGAAATTTCCCGTAAGTCCTGTGAAAGCAAAGAGGATGTATAAGAAAGCGAGGTTGATAACTTCAAAAAAATTTTCGGAATACGCTTTACTCTTGACGCAAGAACTCCTAAGCAAAACTGAAGTTTTGTAAAAGATATATATATATTTCTATAGCAGTATCATAGCGAAGTTCAGTCGAAACTAACCCGAAAGGACTGTTGCTGAACAAAAAGGATGATGCTACTTAAATATTCCTGACTTTTTAGAGTCGACTAGGAGACACAGCAGACGCGCCATTGCTGTCGACTGCGAGCCATGTGCTATAAAGCCTCGAACCAAGCACAAGGCGGGTCACCTTGACTTAAGCCCGGAAGGCGAGATGGACCAACGGCACCCAGTTTGGTTGTCAGTGACTTCATTGCTCGCTGCCAAGTCAACTTCTGTCCAACTCGAGCGTTGCGCCACCCTACACCTGCCAGACTATATAAGGCACTCTTAGGTAAGCGGTGACCAGGCATACATAGCGCGTACCCAAGCCAACGCAACTTATTCAATGTTATCTATTGTTCAAGGGAGTTAACTTGCCTATCACTACCGAGCACTTGCCTACGCAAATCATTGTTGCGGACATGCCGATGCCATCCGACACCAGCAGTGCCTCGCAAACACCGGTGATCAAAGACTTGAAGCCGCCTCAGATCTTCAGGCCGAAGGCGCCAAGTTTCACTCTCATAGAACAGAACGGCCATCACTGTAACCTTGTACACACGGTCTTTCAGACGGAGGGAAACTCCCATCTGTCGACAACGATGACATAGGTTTAGGAATGCTACTTTGGCTTTTGCAACACGTGAACTGTTTTCCGTTTCTTTGCGCCCATCGTTGCTGACGCAGCCGCCACAGCAAGTGAATCGATAAACTACCTCGAGTACCTCGTTGTCAAGGGTCAAGGGGTCACCAACTGGCTGGTGGTCCTGCAGCAACACTTTGCGCCTTGAAGATGCGAAGTGTATACCAACTAATGGGACCAATATAGACTGGTTATTAAGGGTTGATTGTTCCGCCACGCAATTGTTAAACAGCAAAACGGTATCGTCCGCATAATCAAGATCAACTAGCCTTTCACCAGGCAGCACCTCCACGCTTACATGGTGAGATTTCGCGAGGGAACACTCCATGATAGAGTCCACGACGAAAATGAACAAAAAACTGGCAAATCGGACAACCCTGACGAACGCCACTTGTTATCAGATAGCTATCCAACTGGTCACCGTTAACCCTGACGCGGCCTGTCGTGTTCGAGTATAGTGCACATAGGTTGTTCATATAATTCGTGGTAACATCTTTCCGCGCAAGTATTTCGAACAGAATCGATCGATCGAATGAATCGAACGCACCCTTGAAATCGAGGAACACAGCTATTGTCGGTCTGCGGTATGCGTGACGCTGCTCTAACTCCTGCCACAGAGTGAATATATGATCTATACAGCCAAGCCCGGGGAGGAAACCTGCCTGCTCTTCCCTAAGCCGTGATTCTCGCTCCGCATTGAAGAGACGAACGAGAATCTTGACCAGTAATTTGGTCACAACCGGCGTAAGGCTAATACCCCTGTGGCTGTGCTACTGTCCTTTTTGTATATTGCCACTATAATCGATCCAATCTAGTTAGCTGAAACATTCTTTTCCTTCCAGATATGTCTGATTAGGGAGGTCAGTGTTTTGCATAAGACCTCACCTCCATCCTTAATTAGTGCAGCTGGGAGGGAGTCCGGGCAAGCAGCACGAAAACCACTGAGTGCTGGGATCGCGTCTCAGACTTCAGCCTCCAATGGAGCCTCCACACTAACCGGCCATGGCTCTTCCTACATCACCTGAGTAAGAAGATGTCCGTGAGCAGGGGGCCAACTGAACTGATTTTGAAAGTGTTCTGCCCAGGGAGCCATATGGCGCTCCTTATTGTGTATCAGAGTACCCGCGCTGTTTCTGCTTATCTCACCCACACCTGGTTTCCTGGGAGCGGCGTTGCGGATCAGCTGGAAGAGCTTGCGGTAACTGCCTATTGCTCCTGCCTCCTCCATTTCTTGAACCCGACTTGTCCACCAGGCTTCCTTGTTAGCACACTGGTTCTGATTTACTTCGCACCTAATAGTTCTTCTGATCACGTTGTGATCACAGCAAGCTAGGAGTGTTCCGGATTCCAACAGGTTCACTGACGTCTCGGATATTCAGTGACTGGTGCGGTGATGAGAGATATTACTGCAATCAACTGCTCCTGCGTCGTGCTTGGCGGCCGAGATCCTAACACACCGAAGCTCATTGTCATCAGGAAAAGGGAGTGAAAGTTCGGTAGGTAGCGCGTCTTGATAGGCTTGTGTTATAATCTTCTCACTGGACGCGATTCCGAAATTGATGCGATAATCATTAACAATCGACTAATCGCTAAAATAGTGAATTTCCCAGGTGATGCTTACCATCTCCCGGACACATCCACTCCTGAGATATCGTCCGAAGTATACGATGAAAGCGTAGGATTAATTTGCAACCTTTATGACAGTGTTCTCTGCCTTTCGGTCCATCACCTTGACAGAAGTGCCCGAGAACTGGTGTTCGATGTGCGCGGTCTGGATTGCCTGGTCGACTGTGAGCAGTCGTCCAGGGCTTCCTTCGGCAAGTTGAAACTTTCCACCAATAAGTCGAACGGGAGGTTGGTAGGCTTTGCTTGTTCTGGTTGGCTAATTGTTGGCCGCAGTTGGTCTGCATGCCGTGTCCAGATCTGTGCGTCCGCCATTACGTCACAGAAGGCATTGCTTTTTGACCCTCCCTGGCGTCCAGTTCACGTGGCCTTCCCGATACTCACTTGCTAACACTTTCTGTCCACATGTAAACGATCGTTTCTTTGCTCCATGCAGCCAGTTAAAATTTTGTTCCATTCTGCTGTTTCGTTCAGCAACAGAGGATTTTGCGCGCGGTCGGAAGGCGTCAAAAGTCTTGTGGAGCTTGCGGTTCATCATAGCCTGTGCTGGAGAAACTCCCTCCGGCGCTTGTGGATTCGGTGTTGATTGGTAGAGGAAAGAGAACCGGTCAACCATCTCCTCTATACGACCCTCCCGTTTTGATTCGTGGAGATCTCGCTTGAATGTATCGACAAACCTTTCTGTCTAGCCATTCGACTGTGGGTGAAGCACCGGCGAGCGAATGTGCCGGACGGCGCATTGCTTGTAGAACTCCGTATAAGTTGCCGAAGTGAACTGTGTGCCAATGTCAGTTACCATTGTCTCTAGATAGCCGAATCTACTAAACTTTAGCGCAGCCTTGATACAATGGCATTGGTGGCTTTGCTATCCATGCGTATGCGGTATGAGTCGACTATGATGAGGAAACTTCGGCCTTTGATCGGTCTTGCGATGTCGACATGGATGCGGTACCACGGTTTAGTAGCTTTTGGCCATGAATAGAGCTCTGTTTTCTGTGGCGCTTTCAATACGTTGACGTACTTTTGGCACTATTTAGCTATTTCTTCTGGCTGTTTGTCCATGAATGGCCAGTATACATAACTTCGGGCAAGCGCTTTCAGCCGGTTGCTCCCAGGATGCCTGGGGTGGAACCGCCGTATAAGACGCTCCTGAAGGACCGAGGGGATGACCACACTTTTCGAAACTATTATGCAGTCGTTCACAATAGAGAGCGAGTGGCTCCTCTGGAATTACTGTTGCAACTCGACAGATGGACATGAATGTGACCAACTTGTTTTGTGAAACGGTTTAACGTTCTTCAGTACTGGGTCCCGAAGCGTATCGGTTCGTACAGCTTCTGCAGTAACTGGTAGCCCGTGAAATGCATCACTTAACAGATAGATGACGTCAGGTTCAATCTCGACCAAGGCAATGGTTGTCTCCTCACGTTCTTGCTGGTTGAATCAAATAGGGCCTGACAATGCAATGGAAATTGTCGACTGGTAGTGAAGTTCGAAATCATACCCCATTAAGGTAAGAGCCCAACGTTGTAGCCGGTTGGCCGTGTCAGAAGCTTAAAGCGGCGGCCGTACAGCATTCTGTGGAACTTTTTGACCACGAACACTATGGGCACTGCTTCTTTCTCGATCTGGCTGTAATTTCTCGCGGTATTTGTAACTGTTCTGGTAGCATGGGTGATTGCTTGCTGAGATCCATCGGTATATGTGAGTGAAATTACTGCGCCAATCCAATGACGTGATGAATCCGTGGTTAGGACAGTCTCTTTAAAGGGATCAAAATGAGTCAGAAGTAAGTTTGAGGACAGCAATTTCATGACACGTTCCTAGGCATTCTGGCGTTCTGATGTCCAGGTCCAAGTTTGGCGTTTGGCTAGTAGCTTGTTCAGCGGGGCACGCAGGAGGTGCATTTTGGGCAAGAATGCACTATAGTGGCTGATGAGCCCGCAAAAGAAACGCGATGAATGTAGCTCTGTGGTTAGAGGCAATTTTCTAATGGCGTCTACCTTTTCCGGATCTGGTCGACGTCCATACTTTTTAAGAATAAAATCGAAGTGTTTGATGATCGACATGATAAAGTACATTTTTCCTTACGGATCCGGAAACCGTACGACTGTATACAACCAAGCACTTCATCAAGGTTGTTAAATAATTCTTCCGGTGTTCGACCCATCACTATGAGATCATTTAGCTGTGCAGCGGCTCCAGAAACGCCGGCTAGCATGGTATCCATCAACCGTTGGAAAATATCTGGCGCAGTTTTTACGCCAAAGTGCAAGCGCTTGTATTGGAATGGCCCAAGATGAGTGTTGATCGGCAACACCTCTCTAGAGACTTCGTCAACATCCACTTGAAGGTAGGCATCTGAAAGGTCAAGCTTAGCACTTACCATCATACAGTTTTGCAAAATTATCTTCCGGTACGGGTAATGGGTTCTGGTTCTCCGCACAAAGTTGCAGCAGACGCTCGCCTTTCAGAGTTAAGCCCATAATTACAACCCAGTTACGCTTCTGAAGAGGTAAGATGCCCTACTGGTGCGTTCATAGCTCCTGCATGTACTATGATATC